AAAGGGTAAAAGGTAATATCTCCAATCAATCATGTTTTTCTTTATCCCGAAAAACCAACCCCCCTGGATGACAATGACTATTTCCTAACCAAGAAGAGCAGCAGTTTGGAAAACAGCAAACATTCTCTCTTTGCTGTCTACTGCTTGCAGGAGAAGTTATATTAATTACTTTACTGAGATAAACATAAGAAACAAAGCAGAAACACACAGCAGGCAGCCACGTCTAATCAAGAATCACAATAATCTGACAAATTAAGGGCCCTCCATCTGACCAAGAATTCGGAGATGAAGTTGCACTTCACAGATTAATTACTTCTACCACATACTGTCCCAGCAAAGCAGATTGTTGTAAGTTGTAAGGAGGTGAAAGTTTTTTGTTAACTCTGTTGCTATTAAAGGCCTGAGGCTACAACTCCAGTCCCCACCAAGAGTAGAATCATGATTATGGCTTGTGGTTTTCAAATAAGCATTTGTCAGTTTATGTTTTTGCTTCTTGCTTTGGAAGACTCTGCTATGGACGGACATGGAATCTTGAGCTGTATTTTTTTGAATATATCGCTTCAAAAATTTTTCCCCATAATTATGTTTCAGAATTTTCAAAAGAGACATTTTAACAGGTACAAGTTTAGAACTTAAGATTTCGTTACAAAGATGTTGAGTTCGAGCTGTAGAATCCAACCCATTGGGCTGACAAGACACTATCCGTTGCCTACGTGGGCTAGCAGAATTGATAAATATTGGGTCATATTGGGCCATTAATTGGTCTTGGTGAGCCGGGCTGGCACGGCCCGTCAAACGGCCATCGTTCATAATTTTCCTAACCGTGAAATAAGCAAGATTAAAAATCTAAACCGAAGTTAACGGGTTATAATCGCACTTACGTAATCCATTTAATTTCCCAACCCAAAAGAAGAAGGAAAAAGGAGGAAAGGAAAAGAGAGTTTCAAGCCTATGCGAAGTAAGTAGACATCGTCCGATTAGAAGATCGATAAAATAGAGAAACACTGTAACACTTCGCAAAGAAAAATCGACGGCCGGGATCTAGGCTTTGGATCGATCCAATTTTGCTTCGATTTTATTTTATTTTTTTTGTTTTTCCTCTTCAGCAATCATCATGAACTGCGAAGTCTGTCAACTCAAAGAACTGGTAATCAAAATTTTGCTCTTTCACTGTTTCTTTTGCATATTAAATTTATTATTTATGCTTCCGATTTAAAGAAAAAAATCAATCGTTTTTTTTTTTTGTTTAGGAAGTGGAGCACTTCGAAATACGGGAGGTTTTGCGCTGTAAGTTCACTGTTTAAGTTCTTTTTAATTTAATTTCGTTGATTAAAAGTTTTTTTTTCTCGGTGGTTCTGGTTTTGATTAATTTGAGCAGTCAAAGGTTAGTTTCTTTATATTTATATGTATTTTGAACTGTAAGTAAGGAGATGAAAGTTCATGATTGCAGGCATTTTACATACAATAGTGTTTCATAGAGCATTAGGGCTCGTACGACCCAAAGATGTTGATTTGGAGCTTTTTGAAATTACTTATGTGAGTAATTCTTGTTTCCTTTTTTTTTTTTTCGATGAAGTAATTCCTGCTTTTAATTTGACTTTTCCAATCAAAATTACTGCTTTTATATCCTGATTTTCTCTGGCATTTGACATGTATGTGTTTTGCATGTTCCCCATATTTGTATTTTGTAATATATAGGTGCAATGTGGGGATGTGGAACTTGAGAAGAAAATAGATGAGAAGATTGATCATTTCATAAGCTGGGTAGAGAAACATCCTAATAAGAAAAGTCAGGTCTGTCTATTTTGCTTTTAGTTTTATCCTTCTCATTACGAATTTAGTAATCATTGCATCTTATTCATCTTCGCTTTTTATTTTTATTTGTGATGCAGATATGCTTATCATTTTATGAGGTCAAAAGCAAGCAGCCATCTTGGTTCACTAACAAAACCGAGCGCCTATATTGGGAACAATGGTATCTCAATTTGAATGTGACTCAACACCCAAAATCACATTTGGGTAAATCTCATCATTCCAAAGTGGTCATGGATCCAGGAGGTACAACCATGCGAGTGTCCTTTAACTTTAACATCGTGATCTTTTCTTCTTTACCCCAAGCTAATTGATTTTCTTTTGTTTTTTTTTTTTCAATTGTTTGTGTTCATCGTTATAGAGAGTGGTGCTTCTGAGGAGAGAAGTTCCCGCAGAGCAGCAGTTGAAGCATCTCTTCGAGAGGTTCTCTTTCAAATAATAAAGTTTGTCAATGAGAAGAAGGACCATGTTCCACCCATATCTGACGGTGTCATCTATTTTCCATATGAAATTACCATACCAAGGTCAGCTCTCCCTAGTCTCTTCATTACATACTATACTCTCTATCTTTTTGAAGGTTATCTGTAAAAGGAATTATGGTAGTGGAATGGTGCATTGCTATTTGTTCTCCGTTTTTCCACCAGAAATTGGGTGTTTTTCTTCTTCTTCTTTTTGTGCATAAAGAAGATCGCAGGAATGTAAAAGAATTGATGTCTAAGAAGTTTATGAAAGATATGGCTGGTCTAAAGATGAATGGTTAAAAAATTCTGATGGATGAACCTCAAAGCAGATTCTGACTTATGTTAGGAATAAAGCAGCAGTGACTTTTTTCTTGAATCAAGTGAAGTTTACTTTCTAGCATTAAATATAATAACTTTTTCCTCATCTGTTAATGAGTTTGTATGTTACCATATTGATTGGCTTTCTGCTTGATTGTGTGGACTGTCTAATGTTGAAATAAACACTAGGTTACCCCTTTTTTTTTTCCATTTATTTACTACTATTAATAGTAGTATTTTCATTTGATGGGATCGGAATGCACTGTTAGAATTTATTTCTCTTGGAGGGAACTAGAATATGTTTTTGTGGGAAGGCTGACTACCAACAAAAAACTTTCTGTGCCTTCAGAAAGGTGCCTTGGTGATGAGATGTACTTCCTTAAAACAGTTATTAATTATTTGTTTATGTCTTTCTAGCTTCCTGATAATCCTACCACTTGATTCCTAGTTGACAAATTATCGGTCATGATACATGTAAGATGTTTATATGTCTTTTAATGTTAAGCAAGAGAAGATGCGGCATATATCTCTGATGGAGTTCAGAGAGGTTGTTTGCTTTTATTCTTGATGGAATTGAAATGATCTCATATATTTAAAGTCGTTTGATAACTACCTAGGAAGAAAGAAATTTAGAGAAACTGTTGCCATCTCCATATAATTAGGAAGTTAGGTTTTAACTGAAAGTGTTTGCTTTATGTTGATGTTGGTCTGTATTCTGATTGAGATTGTTGAACTAAATGTGCAAAATATAGTTAAGATTCACAAAGTCATGTCAAACTAGGATCAATTGACTGTGCTTGATCCCTTGCTTTTATTTTGATGAATTGTTGTTGCCATTCTCATCTCTGTTTCTTAGGAAATTTCAATGAGGAACAATGTTTAGAATGGTGAGTTAATATTGTGCTGCAATTACTCAGTTCATCAGATTCTGCTTTCGGAATGGACATGATCAAGAGGATGCTGCAGACTGGGCATCCAACCATGCTCAGCTGATTATCAGACTTTGCAAGCTAATTCAGTTCGTAAATCTCTTTTGGGGTAAAACAGTTCCTCTGCTCACGATATTCATAAATGCCAAAAAAATTAAACTTGTAGCTAAGTGCAGAACAGATCATAAGTCAATGAGACAGGCAGGGTTGAATATCTGAAGATATAATAGCTAGGTGGATAATGGAATCCATTACCTTGTAAATATTATCTCATTCATATCCTTTTCCTTACCTTTTTGGAGATGCTAGCATTTCCTGTATGATATTGTTACTTATCGAATGAGGCAATCAACAGCAATATGCTTGCTCCTTGAGCGAAAATGATGATCTGATTTTTTTTTGTTTTTTTTACAATTAGAGGAGGAATTCGAACTTTGATATTTAGATAGGAAGATTATGTATCAATCAATGAGTCAAATGCTCAGGGACAAATGATGACTTGCTTTACGAAGGAATGGTATATTTTTAGTTTGACGCCCTCTTTTTCTGTTTACCTCCGTCAACATCCAATGCTTTGGTTTAAGGGTGTCATATTGAAAGCCTAGCCTAGTTGTTCAGAGAAAAGCTTGATCTCGAACTGGATTATTGAATTTCAATCTCCTAATATAAAAGCTAAATTACAGAACTGGAACCTTTAATTTTGGTTAGGTATAACTTTTTTTTTTTCTAAAAATATTTAAGAATTCAAAATGTCGTTTAACTCATTAGATGCATGGAATTGTTTTCTTATGTCAACAATAAACTAGAAAATGTCCATTTAAATGTGAACACACGAGGCGCCTAAATTTTAAAACAATTGCTTTCGTATTGATATAGCTTTAGCTGAGTTATTTTACACATGAATTATTTCTAGACAAAGAATGGCCGCCCCAGAGTGATAGCAACTCATCAAAGGGGACAAAAATTTCAAAATAAGTTGTTGGACCAATTTAAAAGTTTAAATGGAGTATCATCATTTGGTACATGTTCTTTAGCCGATTTTTGTCAAGTATGTATTTAAAAAAAACAAATAATTGTTGAAATTGCAATCAAGTGATTCAGTGGCTTTTTGATGTTTGACACAATTCTTGATTACCTCCAAGCCACAAGTCCCAAGGTTTTATTACAAGAAGTTAGGCAGATTACGTGGTTATTGATGACTCTGTAGGCTATAGCTTCCTAATTTGGCAAAATTTTGTACATTAATCCCAGCTGAATCATCAATTGATTAAACAGAAAGATCTTACTTCAAGAGTTCAAGTAAAAATATCAAAATTGAAGAAGAAAAAGAAAGGTTTCACACCTAGTACTTTGTAGACACTTTGCAAGCCTTCCATTCTTTGACTGTCGGTGCAATAAAGGCTATGGATGGCGTTTCTTGTATTACTGTTAGCATGCGTTTTTTTTTTCTTTTTGGTCATACACAAAGTCTATTTAAAGGGAGATGGGCATCGAGATAGAAAAACACAAAGCACAAAACAGGAGACTAGGCTAACAATGGTGAGAAAGCAGCATTTTGTCTTAGTCCACGGAGCCTGCCATGGAGCCTGGTGCTGGTACAAGCTTGTGAGCCTACTCAAAACGCCCGGTCATCAAGTCACTGCCTTGGACCTTGGTGCTTCCGGAGTTGATCCCAAGCGGCTCGAAGAAATCACTTGTATTTCAGATTACTTGCAGCCTTTGATGGATTTCTTGGCCTCTCTCCCTCAACCTGGGAAGGTCGTTCTTGTTGGTCACAGCTATGCCGGTCTCTGTATATCTCTAGCCATGGAAAGATTTCCCAACAAAATTGCAGTTGCAGTTTTTATTGCAGCCTATATGCCTCGTCATAGCTCTCCACCAGGGACTCTCATACAGGAAGTAAACGATAAAACTTCCTTGTTCTAGCTTGTAATTGACGCTAATAATACACGAACATCCAGGTTTGGAGATTCTAATTTTAGTAAACTCTTTTGGCTTTTTCTTTTCTTTTCTTTTCTTTGTTGATATAGTACTTTAAAAGCATCCCAGTGGAATCTTTAATGGACTGCCAGTTCACATTCGAAAAAGGCCTGGAGAAACCACCAACTCGGGTACTCTTCGGTCCAGAATTCATGGAGGCCAAAGCTTATCAACACTGCCAATTGGAGGCAAGTTTTAAATGGTTTAAGCAAATCTCAAGCTGCTATATCTGAATGTGTCCTAATTTTGCATTGTTGCATCCAGGATTTGGAGTTGGCCAAAATGTTGGTCAGACCGAGTGGGCTGTTCTTGGAGGACTTGGTCACGGGGAATTTATTAACACAAGAAAAATTCGGGTCGGTGGATCGAGCTTTCATTGTATTAGAAGAAGATGAAGTGATGATGGAAGAGTTCCAGCGATTGATGATCGAGAACTGTCCAGCCAAAGAAGTGAAGGTCATTAATGGCGCCGGCCACATGGCCATGCTTTCCAAGCCCAAACAGCTTTGCCAGCTTTTACAAGAGATCGCAGAGAAATTCTGTTGATTCATATGTTAGCCAATATTGCCATTTATGCTAATTAAGGATATAAAACCTTCTTGATTTCTTTTGTGTTTTTGGTAAAACATATTTTGTTCGTACGATTAAAATTCATGTGGAATCTAACTAAAGATGATATCCTTAATTTAATTGGATGTGTCGCATTCAAATGGATTGGTCTATGATTTTTCTTGCACAAGATGCACTGTTTATGCCTTTATGGTGTAGGATAAGGTGCTATAGATATAGGACCTCTGGAAATAGGGTCCAACAAATAACGGATCATACAATAACTAGAAAAATATACAAAAAGAAAATAAAGTAATGAAAAATTGATAATATAGTCGTGAAGAAAATTGAATAGTTGCCATCGGGGGGTTTTTTTCTAGAGAGAATTTTATAACAAGTGAATTATCCTTACAAAATAAATTAAAGTTTGTTTGAATTTTATCACAAATGAAATCCATCCACAACATGAAAAGATTAATTTTATTGAAAATATTTTTTTGACAAAATTAATTTCATTAGAAAATTAACATTTTTTTTGTAATGCATTATTTTTAGAGTTATTTTTTTTACATTAAACACTATTAATTATTAACATTATAGTAAAGATAAAAACACTAAAATCAAAGTTTCCTTTCTTATATTGTGCACCACAACAAATGTGAGAATTCAACTAGAACAAACAAAAGAAGAAAATGAGCTGATGATGAATCAAGAGTGGATTACATGCTTGTAGTGGGCGTTGATGATTGGTAGAATATTATAGTGGAGTAATATTTATCTGCTCTATGATTTGACAGATCACATCAATTTTATTTTTTAATAAAAAATGTCAAAAGTTTTAAACATCTGAAAAATGTTTTCAGTTTGAAACAATATTTAATTTTGACATCTATCAACATAACAATTATTGGACATAGGTTTATATTTAATATATTATCAAAGCATAGATTTTACATATTATTGATGAATGTTAAAATTTTTAAAAATAAATATTCATAATTTAAAAATATTTATATTTAAAAAACTTTTAAAATCGTGTGAAATATTCATAACAAATTTGGTCACGTAGGGAGCTTGGAAATTATAATAGAGGCCTCGAAGCACTTTGTTGTCGTTCACGGAGCATGCCATCCGGCTTGGTGCTGGTAAGTTTGTACCCCATGCCCAGGTCGCTGCTCTTGACCTGTGGATAATTTTAACCCAAGCGGCTTGACATGATTGCATCCAATTCTTAATGTCTGCAACCATGGTGGCGTCTTGTTTTTCTCTAGCCATGGTGGAATTCCAAATCATCACTGATGCAAGGAGAGTAGCAGATATTTCATGCCGAGATCAGTATCTTGAACTCGAGGTTTATCATTCATGGGGCTGTTTTTGCAATATCTTGAACTAGACAAAATGCTGGTGAGACCGACCTGGGTTTCCTGGAAGAATTCACCGACGATTCTCTGTTGACGTGAAGGCCAACGAATCTCAGTGTTTCCAAGAATTAAATGGCTCAGAACCATGAATTACAGTTCTGGATCTACACTCTCCATTAGTATATATATTCAAGTCCTGTAAAATTAGAAATTTAGGAGATGCAAATAATCCGTTTTGTGCTTGTAATTATTAAGATTGTGAGCTCACAGATTAATCATAATTTTCCTACTGATCATCAAGATACGGCAGAAATATGTACTATTGAGACCACAAATTTGTATCCATGTGTAGTACAGGCATGCGAAGACCTTACTATTTCTATTGTAATCCATCACCAATGTTTTGTCTTACAGGGTTCTTTTTTTTTTTTTTAATTTTTAAAAATTGATACTGACCACAAGTGAGGTTGGGAATGTAAGACTATGAAGTACGAAGTCCCAATCACGAAAATGATATTGCAATTGCCAATTTGCAACCCAAAAGAAGAGACGAGGGTTGATCTGAAAAATGAAGCAGATGAGTAGAAATTTTATATGGATGGAGCCCCATTTTCAAGTCAGTAAAGGCAGGACACGTTCTGCTGACAATTTCTCAGCTAAGTTATTGGATAGTTAAGCCAATCACACCTAAGAGCTAATTAAGAATTAGCAAAAAGAAAATAAAGAGACAACGGCACCTTGTCCAGATCGATAATTTTTGTTGGGGCTGGACCATTCCCAACCCACTTGTCACGCATTATATTGCAAAGATTTTTCACCCTTGATATTAACGGATTGAGGCGTGAGGCCATCTGGATAAAGCCCCTTGCACTTGCATGAGAGCTAACAAAGACTCAAGCAAAAAACCGAGAAAGGTATTGAGAGGAAGGAAACTTTGAAGCACTATGTTCTAGTTCAGGAATCAAAGTCCGTTGAGATCCTAGAATTGATTGATGGAGTCATTCTCTCAGATCCTAAAGAACTTGCCAAGAATTGACAGTTCTATAATTAATCTTCATTAGAATTCAATTCCTACAAATAGAGATTTAGGAGGTAAATAATCAATTCAGTTACTGTTTTTGTGCTTGAAAAATTTTGAGATTGTGACATCACAGATAAGTACTTTTCCTACCGAGCATCACCATATGGCAGATATTTGTAATAGAATGAGACCAAGGCATTTGCATCCAGATGAATGTAGTAGAGATATGCATAGACTCTTTATTTTCGACTAATGAATTCCAAACTTCTTGTTCAATAATATATATTTTTTATAATTTTACTTTACGTGATATTATCAATTAAAAATTTTAATTTTTAAATTTTAAATCTTAAATCATAAATTGTTATTGAATATGTAAGGTAAAATTATAAAAAAAAACAAATAGAACATTAAATGAAGGTAATAAATTTCTGTTTTGTATTGAGAGCTAGAAAATTTTGCAATTAAAATTGTGAAGTATTAAAGAAGAACTATTTGCTGATGGAAAGAGAAATACACAAGACAAGAACGCATGATATGACGTGTTGGGCCATGGGTGACCTATTTTCACGAGGGAAGATTCAAGAGGTTACATTGCCATGATCGATGCGTTTCGAAAGGCATAGAGATATGAGCCACTGCCAATTACGCCAATCGTCACGCATCGAGTAGTCTCACCCTTGACCTTAACTGCTTGAGCGAGCCCCTCTACAAAATCCCCTTCAAATCAAGGAAAAGCCCAGTTGTAAGATAAAAGCAAAATGAAAATGAAGCACTTTGTTCTCGTTCATGGTATGTGCCATGGAGCTTGGTGCTGGTACAAGCTTGTCTCACTGCTCAAATCGGCTGGTCACCGTGTCACTGCACTGGATCTTGGTGCCAGCGGCATCAACCCCAGGAAGATTAGTGAACTCACTTCCATGTTTGACTATGCGCAGCCTTTGATGGAATTCATGGCCTCTTTGGCTCAAGAAGAGAAGGTGACTTTAGTGGGTCATAGTTTCGGTGGCATAAGCATTTCTTTAGCCATGGAGAGCTACCCAAACAAAATCTTAGCCGCAGTTTATCTCACAGCCTTTATGCCCAACCATGATTCTCCTCCTGGAACTGGAGTACAAGAGGTAATTTTATATATATATATATATACATATAAACTCCTTTCCTCTTGGTCTCTGTCTTTATTGGTAGATGATGACTACAAATTTTACTCTACCATGTTCAATTGATTAAGAACATAATAGATGAGCCAGTGAGAGTAAGGCAAAATTATTGATTAACAACTAAATAATGCATGTTCATTCTTATGTTTCAAGGAGTACCAAATCATAACCCTTTGGTGAGTGATCAATTATGAGACTTTTGTTTCTTTCTTTAATTTTTTTCGTTAAATTCAATACAAATACCTGCCTCTTTTTGTGGCATGTCATGTTCAATTGTAGCCTGAAATATTGCTTGATATGTTCAAAAGGCTAGCATGTTTCCATAGTACGCAAGTACTAATTTACTTGATTGATTACTTGGAGGCCAGTTCTTCAAAAGTTTCATGGCAGAGTCCATTATGGATTTCCAGTTATCGTTCGATGAGGGGCCGAATCATCCTCCCACAGGTGCCCTCTTTGGCCCAAACTTCATGGTGGCAAAGGTTTGCCAACTCTCCCCGAAAGAGGTCAGTATTTCGACAAAATCAGTTTCCATCTATATAACCAGTTAAGAATACTAATTAAGATCAACCTAAACGTTTTCAACCTGCACATGAGCATTTGTTTTAATGATTAGTTTAAGAATTCTTTTGTTCAAAAAGCATATTCGAATCTGTTGTGCTGATGATGTTTGCATTGCATGCAGGATTTAGAATTGGCTAAAACGGTGCTGCGACCAGGGAAGTGGTTCATGAACGATTTATCCAAGGAATCTCTGCTGACAAAAGAGAAATTTGGATCTGTTAATCGGGTTTACATAGTTTGCAATGATGATTTGCTGATAAAGGAAAGTTTGCAGAAATGGTACATTGAGCATAGCCCAACAGATGATGTCAAGGTTATAGCTGGTGCTGACCATATGCCTATGTTCTCCAAGCCCAAGGAGCTCTGCCAATGTCTCCAAGAAATTGCTGAGAAATATAATTGAAATTGTTGGGTGGGCATGAATCATGGTAGCAAATGCAAACTTTGTAATAATGATATCGTATTGATATAAATCAATAAGGGAAAAACAAAGGTGTTGAATATGGGAAATCCTGTTATGGCCTTGGATAATTTTTAATTTATGATAATGTGTTTGTATTTTTTTTTTAAATTGAAAAAAAAGAATTTCAATTTTACTCTTTTAAGTAACAGAGATTATATATTACTTAATGAACCAAATAGTCTGATATTTATGATATAATACTATAAGCTTGAGAATTTGTTCAATTTTCAATTTTTTGGAGTATTAAAATTTGGTAAGCAATGTGACTTAATTTTAAATAAATCTCATGGACATTCATTAAATATATACTTGAGTTAATAAGATTTTGCCACAAGATTTTAGATCTTTCGAGTCTCACATAACCTACATTTTACTCAATTTTAAATTTTATATACTAATATAAATCCTTACAAAAATTATTCACTGAAAATTTTACATCAATTCATGTTCTTTCCCGATTTAATTATATCTTATAACCCCAACGGTGCGAGCAAACCCCCCTGATCAGATCAATTCGGGAAAATGGACTAGAAGAAGCATTCTGTCCTAGTTCATGGGATTTGCCTTGGAGC